AAAGACCTTTCGCACCCACCCCCAACCATGCAAAGAAAGTAAGGGGGGTGGAGGGATATGCCCTAAATCTACAAATAGAGACAAAATGGTTAAGAGAACACATTTTGGAGCCACACCATCTGAAATACCTACTCTACCACTTATTAACCTGCTCCCTCTTAGACAATGAGATTTTCTTCATCAATAAAATGGTAACAACCCAGGGCTGGCATGAGGATTAAATGAGAATCTCCTTGGCAGGGTGTTGATACAAAGTACACACTGAAAGAGCAGCTCTTGTGGTTTCATCCTCAGGCCTAGCAAATTCCCAGAGGTTCTAATGTGAGATTCCTTTGTATCACCCCCAGGTATGTATAAAGGTTACATTATCCCAACTGTAGTCATCTGGGGACTGTAATCCTCAACTCCTTCCAGAAATTCTCATTCCCCACTGTGCTGTATTCACTCATTTCTCAGACCTGTGTTCACCCCTGTAGTAAATTCAGAAAACATTTATACAAGATTCTTTGCTAGGTTCTATTGAAGCCAAAAGGAACGTATCAAAGACCTCCTCTAATATACCCCCAATCAGCAGGAAAGAATAGCCTGGGAACAAATTGAGGCCTAGTTCAAGGAAGGCTTTAAGAATGAGGAGAACTGGGGCATGGCTCAAAGTAACAGAGCACCTGCCCAGCAAGTACTAGCCCCTAAGTTCAAACCCCAGCACCACCAAAAAAAAAAAAGAAAGAAAGAGGGGAGGAGGATGGGATGGGATGGGGACACAGACTGGCTAGGCATGGTGGCACACATCTGAAATCCCAGCACTCAGAAGGCTGAGGCAGGAAGATTGAAAGTTTGAGGCCAGCCTGCCCTATATAAGCAAGATCCTATCTCCAAAAATTAAAGAACAGAAAGAACAGGCAGAAAAATGCATCACAGAAGTGACGTGTTATCAGTCTTACAGGAGGAAGAGGAGGAAGAGGGACACTTGCACAAAGAGCGATTAAACAGAATGGCTAGTCAAGACAGATTATATACGCCTTGCAATGCCACAATGGACTTGGACTTGCCCCTGTAGGCCATAGGGAAACATTAAGCAGGGAGTGACAAGATGGAAAAGATAACTCCAGTGATTTCATGGAAGGCTGATTGAAGCCTGATCAGCTCAGAAATGGGGAGCAATATCCCAAACCTACCTCTTCAGGAGGGTCTTCCCTAAACCCAGAACCAAACTGCCGGTAAGATGTCCCTTTCTGTGCCCAGAAGATCTTACACATGCCACATTCAGAACTTTAAATCATTCAACTATGTATTAGTCTCAACAGAGAAAGGAAACACTCTGTTTGCTCATCTATTCCTAGAGACTGCACAGACTACTGAATAGATACATGAGGAGATGACATGTATTTGTCACTGTCAGACAGAAGGCCCAGTCCAGTTTGAAATGTCATGAGACACATGCCTAGGGGAGATGTGCACCAAGAGACTATGAGACATATGTGTTTGGTAGGAAGGAGAGGTCTCCTTAAAAGGTACAATCTGGAAATTAAGAGTAAGATAGCCTCTGAAAGGCCTACAGAAGGTGACAGTTATGATTAGAATCCTGGAATACATAATTCAGGGCAGTGAAAGATCTGAGGAAAAGTCAAAGGCCCAAGCAGCAAAAGAAGAGAAAGGATAACTAAAGGAGAGTCATGAAAAAGGTAGGCAGGGAACCACGAAATGGCCCAGGTGATTTTTAGTCTGCCTAAAATACTGTTTACATAAAAATAAGTAGTAATTCAGCATGAACTGTGTATTTCTTTAATTCCTGAGTCTAGCCTCCAATGACTAAGTACATGGAAAATAAACATGTGCCAAACAAGTGTCTAAAGGAAAACTGGTAATAGTCTTACACTTGTCCAGCCATTAATTGATGTGCTTTTGATTAAAAATCTCCACCTGGGGATCTTATTTACTGCCCCACCCTACTTACATAAAATGCACTGCAAATACCCCAAAAGTCTCTGCCAACTGTCTTCAAATAAAGGCGAGTTTAGATAACTATGGGTGTGTCTGATGGAAGGACTGGTAGAGGGGGTATCCAAAAGCTGATGAAAAACCTGAGAGGGAAAATTATCCTCTTCATAAAGAAGAGAGAGGACATAAGGAGGAATGTTATGTTTACTTTTTTATAAACTCAAGCCTGCCTTGACATATTGACTTTTTCCCATGTCCCCTTACTCTATAAAACTTCATGAACTTAGGGCTGGGGCATAGCTCGACAGGTGGAGTGCCTTGCCTAGCAAAAGCAAGGCCCTGGTTCAATCCCTAGCACCAAAAGACTCTCCCTCCAATTGATAACTTCAAAAACTTCGGTTTGACCTCATTTATGTTACAGATCTGGCTAAACTGAATTCTGGCACAGTATTTACCCAGTGGGCTGGGGGGTATGGCTCAGCAGTAGAGTGCTTGCCTAGCATGCAGCTTCAATCTCCAAAACCACCAAAAAAAAAAAAACTTTCTGTATATACTTTAAAAGATCTCCTAACACTTCAATTTACTAACTGTACAACAAATTACCTCAGAGAACACTAGGTATACTTAGTCATTACTCAACATTACTATTTGTTATCAAATTACTTCTTTGAAACATTATTTCCTTGAAAAATTACTTCCTCAAAACATTACTTCCTTGAAATATTACTATTTAGTCAGTTATCAAATTATTTCCTTAAAACTCTCAAACCTGGCAGGGATTCTCCTCAAAACACTTATGTTCTTGTAAACCACTGGAGCACAGAACTCAGTAACTTTATTTCATGGAGTTTTCAGCATGCTATCCATCTGCATCTATCATACTAGAGGTATGAGCCTGAAGAGAGGACCACGTTGTCTCTAATACATCAAAATTACTACTACATTATACATTTATTTTAGGGAAAAGGATAACTTTCTACTCAAAGTTTTATATTTAAGCTTTGTTTTGTTTTTGCAGTGCTAGGGATTGAACCCAGTGCTAGGCAAGCACTCTACCACTAAGTACATCCCCAACCCTATTTAAGCATTTTTAAACCCTCACAATTGGGCTGGGGATGTAGCTTAGCGGTATACAGCACCTGTCTACTATGCACAAGGCCTTGGGTTTCATTCCCAGCACCGAGGAAAAAGGGGAGAAAAAAAAAAGTTTGTGTGTGTATATATATATATACATATACATATACATATACACACACACACACATTATTTTAAATTGAGCATGTAAGGGTTGCTATAATCCCAGCACTTGGGAGGTAGAGAAAACAATCTCCAGTTCCAGGCTAGCTTGGGCTACATAGTAAGACTGTCTCAAAAAGAAAAAAAGACAATAAAGAAAATACTTCACAATTTAAACTACGTAACATTATAAGCAGTCTCTTCTTCAACTATATCATCACTGGACCTTCCAAAGTTCAAAAATAATTAAGTCACAGGTTGACCAGATTCTATTTGTGAAAATGGAATAGGATGATGGGGTTAAGAGCAGAGTGGTTTCTCAAGAAGGACTGGCTTGCCCCTTTACTATGTATGTTCCTGCAGTAAGATTTTACAGCAAGTAGGGCTTCTGTTTCTTAAAACTGTCTTCTTTTCATTTCTTAAAACTATCTTCTACAAGATACTAGTTAGTATGATACAGAAAAAGGATACTTTGTATGGAATGAATCATAAATCCACTTGGAGAAAAGTATAGCACTTAGGGAGAGACACCTACATTGTGTACTACTAAGCATTGAAATTAATCTGACACTTTTTACCTCTTAATAAAAAACCTAATCTAACAACTATATACACTCTCGCAATTGTTTTTCCAACCTTAAGGCGAAGTGCGTGAAACCAATTCAGCAGGAACAAATCAGCCTCATTTCAGCCCAACAGCTTTACTATCTAATATATTGGAAATAGTCTGCAGTGTTAAACACTGAATCCATACAACATGGGCTTTCCTGCAATGTTTTTAACTTGTCAAAAAAAAAAAAAAGGGAACACTTGCAATCAGGAAAAACAATGTTTTTTCCAATTCCATGTTCTACTTAGCATTACAGGAAAGAATCCTCTACAGGAACTAATATTTCAATAATATAACTCCTTTATACATATCCCTCTATTCTCATTAGCAGGTTAATGTTTTAGATGACCTACCCTATGCCCCAGAAATGTTTAACTTTTAAACATGACCTCACTCACTGGTTAACTTCCAACCTGTCCAGTCATCTGTTTGATGCATGTTTTCACCTTGTTTCATTTTGCTGTTTTTTCTTTTTTTTTTTTTAATAGCTGTATTTATTATTACATATTGTCATGCAGAGGGTAACTCTCAGTTCTACATGGCAGTCTGTAGCAGAAAGCAATTGACTTATCACCAAGTACACTCCCCAGGCTTCTCCAGTAATACTGAAGCCTCTAGACCAATAATGCCTTCTGGTGATGGGTCTGCCGAGGAACTAGTGATGTATCTGACAATCCTATCAAAGCAAGAAGGACCTGAGGGACAGCAGGCAGATAACTGATGACCTTTCCCTATGTCCTCTCTCATTTGGGACACCAACTCTAACCGTCTACATCACACTAGGTAATGAAAGGTGTTAAGGCAGTTCCCATGAGAACTAACCCAACAATTACCTGCCTTTCTTGTCTGTCATGGACCAGGCTCTCCAACCAACTACAAATGTAATAGGATTCTTAAGACACAACTTCCTCTTTGACTCAGAAGAGGAGTAGAAAATCTACAACATGTAAGTGTAAAACAATGATTTCTAGTCAATGTTGCAGAAAGATTACTGTAGCACTAATAAGCTCAAACTAACCTAAATACATTTTATGATGGGCTGGCTGGCAGTCAAAAATTGCCCCTAAGTTCTTAGCTTACATTCTATTTCAACATTTCTAGAGTGAGGGTTTACTGTAGACAAAAAAACAGACAAAATATCTGTACCTAACCCTAAACATGGAAATGGGCAGACCCTTAACCATTTTTCCAAAGAAATATGTTTAAACGGCTTTACCATGCAGAGCTATGGCTTCCCGGAAGGGTTGCAAATCAGTCTCTACAGATGAGCTAGTTTCCGTTGGAGTAGCTCGGTTAGGGGACACTACAGTCAGTCTTGGGGGAGCTCTAGAGTTTCGTGGTGGAGGAACCTTTCCACACAGGAAGCTGATCAAATCTTCTCTACGAATAGTTCTTCTGCGTTTTTTAACCCAGGCCAACACATCCTTATTGCGTCGCTGATAGCCAATCTGAATTCCAATATCAAAACTTCGCTGATGGGTATCCACGCTTTCTATTAGAAAAAAAGAAAGAAAAGACACATGATAATCATACAGTCATGCTATATTTCCTTCTAAAAAAGTGAAATGAATTACCATGAACTGTTATTCATGGAGTACTTTTTTTTGGGTGGTATTGGGGGCTTGAACTCAGGGCCTCGAGCTTGCTAGGCAGGAGCTCTACCAGCTGAGCTACACCACCAGCCCAAATTACCATGAACTCTGAAGCCTCTATACCTGTAAGTGATCCAATAATCTGAATGAAATGTATCTTACTCATGTTGGAAATGTCACACATGTCATCTTAGTGGTCTAAATTTGGAGTTCACACATCACATAATCCTAAAGCTTTCTTCTTTCAAATAATAATTTAGACAGAAGTAGGACTACCTACAATAAACTTGGCCATGCTTACCTGCTTTAGTTTAGCAATACTAACGGTAGCTAAGTCAGCAGCACCTCATGAGCTTCACATGAGAAAAGAGGCAGTGCTGCCTTCCACTTTATTCAAAGTGAGGAAATGGTACTGAGCGTGTTGAGTGACCCCTTCAAGATAACAAAAATATAAAAGAGCCGAACTTTGCTCCACAACCAGGGGATCCTTACATAGATATGCTGCTCTCTTCCAGAAAGCTGAATTCTCTTGATTGCTACATAAGAGTGTTGCATCATTGAACCGAAGTCTGAAATCACATGGCTCGGCCACACTCACTTGATTTACCAAGTCATTTGAGATGCACTCCTACTGACAGGTTTGGCACCAAGAATTAAGAACTCCAAAGGACGTAGCAAGCACTTGACAAAAAACAGGGAGCATAAGTACTGACTACTCAACACCAGGAGGGTGGAACCAGAAAGCTTCATTGCCCAAGCTATATTTTCATTCTGCTTCCAATTCTCAGTACCCTTGGAAACTCATTATCTTCATGAACTTTTAAAATGAAGTTCATCCCTGCTTTGTGTGAGGAAATGAAAATGCAGACACTGAGTGACATGGTGACTTATCATTATTCTAGTAGTGAGACACTAGAGAAGATGACTGCATTCGGTTTTTTTAAGACAGGGTCTTGGAATGTAGCCTTGCCTTAAATTCCCCACTGGAATACTGGTATATACTGAACCTGACTGTAGTAAAATGGTTCTTCTTTTCAATGATTTTTTTACCTAGCTGAAAAATCATATTTGAAAGTTTACATTGCTGCAATTTACTTTTAGTTAGCTGCTGTGCTGGCAGAAAAATAAACAGTATGTCTTTAAAGACACCCAGCAAGATGTCTCCTTTATCCCTGGACCTTGTATAAAAGCAACAAGATACATTTCTCTATCACCATTCCTGTACTTATTTTAACTCCATGTCTAAATCTAGAGTAGACTCTGAAGGAGAAAGCAATAGGCACACATGAAGAGCTGTGTCCCAGAAAGAAATAGTAATCCACACATCACAGAGGATCCCAAGCTGAATGAATATGCATTATTGAAAAAGGAAAGGCTAGGGGATGTAGCTCAGAAGCAGAGCACATGTGTAGCATGTGTGAGGTTCTGGATTCCGTACCCAATAACCTCCCCCAAAACAGAAAGATGATGAGTGCAGGTGCACAAGAAGAACTGTGTAACAAGACCTTCTTCTTCGCAGATGATGGTTCTTTATTGCTAAAGATTCAAAAGAAAATGACATGTCTGTGGGAGTAAAAATATTTTTAAAATAAGAGGAGTTGGGACTCTGTAATCCTGGCTATCAGAAGGCAAAGATCAGGAGTCACAGTTCAAAGTCAGCCCAGGCAAACGGTTTGCTAGACCCTATCCTGAAAAAACCCATCACGATAAAAGACTGGTAGAGTGGCTCAAGGTGTTGGCCCAGAGTTCAAAGCACAGTAGCACAGTAGAAAGGGCCAGGGCACACATCTTCTCATTTAAACTCCAGCATACCTTTGAAAAAATGGATTAACTCACTTCTAGAGTGGCCAGCCAAGTGTCCATGTCAGTCAGTATCTGATTTCCCATTCCTCTTACACAAAGCACGCAAAGTAGGCACGAACTCCACTTTAAAGGTAAACACCATCCATGGAGATAACGCAGCACTTTCCCATCTCTTAGAACACAGACAGGAAAGCCAACCTCAAAGAACTGGATAAGCTGGGAGCAAGGCTCAAGTGGTAAAGCACTTGTCCAAAATGTGTAAGGCCCTGGGTTCAACCCCCAGAACTGCTTGGGGGGGGGGGCGGGGGAGTACCTAAACCTAAGATGACCTGGAAAAGTTGCATTTAGTCCTTTGATGACTGTGAAAGGGATAAAAGAGTCATTCAAAGGAAATCAAGTCAGGGAGCCTATCCTATGGAACCACAGAAAGAGGATAAGCCTAAAATGTGCAAACCTGCCCTCTCTAAAGCTCATTGGAGAAGTTTCTACTTCTAAACAGAATAAAGAAATTTTATCTCTTTAAAGAACCAAACAGAGGTAGGCCCAGAACTGGAAAAACAGAGGGAACAGAGTGGGAAGCATCAAAGGGATGCAGAAAACTAATCCAAAGCACGCAAGGACAGTGCACAGATGAAGCAGGTGTGAAAACATACACCTGGCAAGCCAGACACTAAAAAGCAAGATTAACTTGATATAAAACCTAAACCAAAGGGAGGGTGCTCTGTGAGGTACATTTTCACAGTTTTTTGTTGTTTTGGGGATTTTGCCAGTTCTGGGCTTTGAATTCAGGGCCTCATACTTGCCAGGCAGGCACTCTACTACTAGAGCCACTCCACCTGCCCTGTGAGATGTTTTAAAAAAAAAAAATTCACCAGTGACCTGGTTTAAAAGGGAGATAGTTATGTAAAAAGTTGTGAACCATGCTGGGCACAGCAGCTCAACCCTGTAATTCCAGCTACTTGGGAGGGAAAGACTGGGAGAACTGAGGTTTGAAGCCAGCCTTGGGCAAATAATTAGCAAGAGCCCACCTCAACAAATAAGCCAGGCATGGTAGTACATAGCTGTAATCTCCACTATGTGAGAGGTACAGGTAGAAAGACAGAGGTCCCCTGGGGAAAAACCAGAAGATCTTTTCCAAAAAAAAAAAAAAAAAAAATAACGAGAGCCCCCCCACCCCCCCAAAAAAAGAGTTGAGGACATGGCTTAAATGGAAGAACTTGCCAGTAAGCATAAGGCCTGAATTCAGACCACAGTATTACCACATCCCACCCCCCCCACCCCCCCCCCCCACCCCATCGCAAAAAAAAAAAAAAACCTCTTTTAAGAAACTGTACAGCTGACCAATCTTACCTCAAAACTTCTGACCCAAGTCTCAATATCATAACCAACTAAAATCTTGATAAAAAGTCAGACATTTTGGGCTGGAGTATGTGGCTCAAGTGATAAAGTGCCTGCTTTGCAAGCACAAAGCCCTGAATTCAAACCCCCAGGCACCCCCCCAAAAAAAAAACCACCCCCCAAAATTCAGGCATTTCATAAGCACTAATTCACAGACTAGAAAGACCAAGGAGAAAAGCAGATACAACACAAAGATAATGAATTACATGCTTCTGCACTACCTAGGACCAACTTGGTTTGGTACCTTTAACAGCTTACTCTGAAAGTCAAGTCCCATTATTTTACCACCCAAATAAATCCAACCTCAGGTACTTTCCTGAATAGAAAATTATGTTAAGTACTTTCAAACAGTTACTTGGTTAAAAATAACACTTTCCTCTTATCTTAAACCAACTGGGAAAGACCTGCATGCTTTTTGGAGAATACAGGCATAAAGAAACTACATTCTAATGTAATGCCTGGATAATGTAGCGTCCACTGGGCTGAGAAACCCATCTTCCCACCTCACCCCACTCCCACACACAGAGGGCCTCCTAAAGGAGCTAAAGGCTCTCAGCCAAACACTGTTTTGAACACACCTGAACCCTCATAACTAGACAGCCAAATTCTACAAGTGTGAGTATTGGACTCCTGGCCCAAAAACTGTAGGAGTCTTGTGCCCACTACTGTTTTACCAAAATCAAAGCCATTATGGAAAAGAGCCATAAACCTGAAGGTTAAGTGAGTCCCCAAGGGCATCAAAATATCAACCTAACCTTTACCACCACACATTCATTTCCTTATTCAAAAAAAAAAAAACACTGATTCATACAACACAGTGAATATGTCCCATGTGTTATTTTTTTTTAATGTTTTATATAAGAATCTGAAATTGAATTCAAGAGAGTTTAGATTTAAATCCTACTACCACTGCAGGGTAGGGCAGAGGACTCTCACTGATTCTGAAGTGAAAACCAAATGAAGAGCCTTCTTCCGTGACACGTACAGACAAAACTAATGATGTTGCTCTGTTTTAGTTTTTACCGCAGGGGTTCAAACCCAGGGCAATTCATCGCTAAGCACACCCTTAGCCCTTGTTTCTCCATACTCAAAAAACTTTGTGAGTCAGCCAGAGCAGGTATCCCAATTTCATAAGCAAGGAACTGAAGCTCAAAGGGCCTTGTCTAAAGTAAGGGGGCAGAGTTCCTTCTACCACCTACTGTTCCAGGTGTTCTCATTCTCCTCAGAGCACCTACAAGCCATAAGTCAGAGCAACACTTCTAAGGAATACGAGTGACCACAAAATATTTGAATTTAATTTACACTAACCATCCAGTTTCAAGCTTTCCACAAGGAATAAGAAGATCTGAGTAAAAGCCAAAACAGAACTGATTTCCAAATATTTGGGAGAATCTAACACCTATGTATTCCTAAACAACTAGGATCCAAAATTAGGCACAACCTTCCTGCCTATATATTTACTTAATCTTTACTCAGCACACAGAAGCACAGGAATGAAGGAAGAATCATAGCAGCCTCTTATTTTTGCCTGCCTGGCCTCCAATGCCTGTTCTCCCCTCCCTAAAGATACTCTAAGTTTTTGTTTGGGTAGCCAACCATATGATCTGAGGGAAGCTCCCTTCGACATGTAGCTTAGTCCTAAACTAACCAGCATCACCCCACACCTGACTATAGTAGTGATTCTGGCCAAAAGACAAAACCAATCTGAACACACAGTGTACACGTGTACACAAACATATGTGCATGCAAGGGGAGAGAACCGCAAAGCACAAGACCCCAGTCACTGAATCAAGTCAATCCTACATGTAGTCTCCACGTCAGAGAGGGACCAAGACGAGTCCGTACCACTGAAGCAAGAATGACTTGTGATTTCTGATTCTTGCAGCCAAAATATCCTTTTACAGAAGTTAGACACAAGAAAAGGGCTGTCTTCTATAAAAATCTTCAGACTGAACCTACAAAGTGCATATTACAAATGACTAAGGCTATTGCTTCTGACAACTAAAGCTAAGCATAAAATTTAAGGCTAAGAGTTTCTAACTGTAATCTATACTAAGTTATTTTAACAAAGCCTCAAAGCTTGGTAATAACTTTATGAAGTAAGGAGAGTCACAAACCCCTGCCATCTCCTCCAAGTAGAACTACTTTCTGTGACTGTTTAATAGTCACCCACTTCTAGGCCCACAAATTTCCATCACAGTTCAGTTCCCCTTTAGCAATACATATAAATCCAAAATGGCCACAATAAAGTGAAACAATGTATCAGAAAGAGGAATGATAGCACACCTTTTGACCTGTCAATTCTATTTACATTTGCTCCTTTCAGGAAAAGATGAGGAAGAAGGAATGTACACACCACAAAGCTTATTCCAGCATACAGAAAGAAAAAAAATAAATAAATAAACTAGGATTACAACCCCTCATCTTAAGCACGGCCCCTGCCCACTGCAAAAAACACTGGAGAAATAGTTAAAACTTAACACCATCAGCAGTTGGGCTCTCCCTATGCTAGGCACAAAACTAAGACCTGTACTATAATTTGTGGGCACTCAGGCCCATTTACAGTTAAGACCAAGGAGCACAATGGTGAAATACCTGGCAGAACCACAGACCAAACACGTACCCCAGCCAAGATCTGAGCTCAGTCTGGCAGCAGACTCCAAGACTGCACCATATTGAAGCTAGTCCTCTGCAGTACTGCTAGAGCAGACACCTTGGGGCAAATGCTGTTCAAAGACACCCAGAAACATGTTTTGACGCAAACAGTATCAGGAGATAGCTATTGGCAGGTATGGCAGAGTAATACACAACCAATGTTTCACACACACTTTAAAATGCAGATGACAAGAAACGAAGAACAAAAACATTTAAAAACTGAGAAACAGCAAAAGAAAAGTGGTAGGAAGCAGCTCTGTGGTCAAGCACTGGCTCCAGAGGTTGCTGAAAAGCTGGGGCACTAGCCCCACTCAGGCTACCCACTGTGAGGCTACATGGTAGCCCTGCCCTGAAGGATAAGCAAGCAGCCCCAAGCAGTATAGGGAATTGAGGCTTACACAAGATAATTTCTAAGGAAGAATCAGGACTAAGACAGAAAGCAGTACCTCAAAGAAATGAAAATTTAAGATGCAAACACCATTCGGGGGGTGTTGCTCAGTGGTCCAGTACTTACCCAGCACTGCTCCAAAAAATGCAAGCACAGGCTTGGCCACATCATCTCTCAGGAAAGCAACAACCCTGGATAGATTAAAATGACCTAACTTTTTACTTCCTTTGATTTCAGGTACCAAAAAGCCACACTAAGCCAGGGACTCATCAATAATGAAGAAACACCATTCTCTTTGGATTTATCAAATCAAGAAGCAGCAGTGACGACTTGGTTCTTCTCCTTCCCAAAAAAGGAAGTGAAAGCTTGACCCTGCTAACTATAGTACAAACCTATGCACTACTCTTTACTGAACGGTGTCCTCGGTGAGAGGACAAGGTCAACTCACCTTCTCTTCTAAATTCGTCCAGCTACATTCCAACTAAATCAACCACCAGAACCTCCAATTTTTTTAAATCCCACTGGCAATTAAAAGGGGTCCTCCACTTGAGCTGTCAGAGTGGCTCAAGTGATAAGAGTTCCTGCCTAGTGAGCCTGAGGCCTTGAGTTCAAACCCAGTACTGCCAAATAAAGGGCCAATTGTGGCATTCCTATGTGCTCATTTTAGCAGTTATCAAGAAGGTGGTGCATATGTCACTCTCCCCAGGGTTACAAAATGAGCCATTTTTAGCTTGCCAGACAAGTGCTTAATTATACAAAATACAAGAGTATTGTTCGCTTAACGGATCCCCTCAAAATTAAATTTTTAATCAGAACTGTGAACCAGATTTAAATTTACCAACATTTAAAGCTGCATGCATTTGTGACACCACCTTGCTAATTTTATTGGTTCTATTTAAGGTAACCAATTATTCCTCAGCTGGATGCCTGTTCTCTAAAGACCACACCCTGAAGAGGGAGGGTGTGAGAATACAGTATTATCTGTTCTTTGCAACAGTGGCTAAAAGATTAAGATGTTGCTAATTAACAAATTCCACAAAATACAATTTATCCATTCTGTAAGGTAAAAAGAGATGCTTCATTTTACAGAAACTGGATACAAAATAAAACTGGCTCATACTGACAATCCAGAAACCACATATATTTAAAATTTATGTCTCTCATTAAGTTTTCTGAGCAAAGAAGAAAACTAGCAAATTATAAGATGTGTTTTCAAATTAAGGATTATTTCACAGTTCAACTTCTGAACCCATCTTCTCTCAGACAGCAGTAAAAATAACTGCTAGCTTTAGTCCTACAGAAATTCATTCTATCAGTCCACAACAGCACCAAAACCAGAAGACATTCCTATTTGTGGAGGGCTTAGGTTAAGAGCCTGGCACCTAGAAAACAGCAAAAAAATGGGTTGTCTTCTCCTTCAACCAAAAAGCTAACTGCAGCAAAAGCAAAAAGGTAGTAAGCCACTGTACCTGCATACAACAGAATACTACTCTTCAGTTAAAAAGCAAGCACTGGACTGTTGTACCTGCCATGCAAATGCAATGCATCCCCTCAAACACATGCTACGCCAGAGACCAGCCACAAAAGGCTTCTAAGGGGAAACTACATACAGTGCACAGCAATCAGGTAAGTGGCTCCAGGGAGGGGGGATAGGTATACTGGTCTATTTGTTAATAATATGCACTTGTCAAAATGAATCTAAGTATCTTAAAAGGGTGATTTCACTGCATGTCAACTGTACTCCAAGAAACTTGAGTCTCTTAAGAAATAACACAAGTATTATTTTTAAATTTCCTTTCTGGATCAAACCAAGAGCTATTCCAAAAGAATGCTCAAGACCCTCAAGCACGGAGAGATGCTAAAAAGCAACTTTTTCAGTGGTCAAAATTTAAGAAACTGGGGCTGGGGATGGGGCTCAGCCTAGCCTGTCAGAGACCCAGGGTTTCATCCCCAGGTCCTCCCCACAAAACGTGAGACACTCAACTACAAAAATCAAAGCTAACCAGTGAGAGTGCCATTTCATCTGTTTCCCTTTACTCCGTAAGACTGGACTATTCCTCATTTCCTAAAATTAACATTCTTATCCACCAGTTTCAGCTGAACAGTGCTCAAAATTACTGTTTCAAAAAACTGCCAAGTGTACTCAGGAGCTCTCACAATAAGGGGCATTTGTCCTACAGAATGCTGCCATTATTTGCACATTCTTAGGCAAAAATAAAAATCTGAGAATCAAAAAAGACACAATCTGAGAATCAAGGAGGTATTCCAATAGCCTGTTTCAACCTATCTTGATATTTTTACACTGCAAAAAATTCCATTAGTTTATCAGCTCTTTCAAAGTTTGAAAGCATTTTGATTTAATTACATTTGTTAGCAAGTCAAATCAAAATCCTTTTTCCTTAGAAACCTTGCCAAAAACCTCCCAAACCTTCCCTACCTGCAAGGCACAAAATTAAACCCACTGTTACCAAGAAAGCACAATGGGCAGGAGGAGGCACTTACATACCCTTATGTCATCACAAAGAGAAATGAACTCCAGAAAGGCTCCCCTACACAAGTCTACCACAGATTTCCTGCTAGCAGCTTGACAAGCAGACACAGGTAGCTCTGAAGTACAGAAGTTGATGAAATTGCTGCGGAAGGGCAAGTTCATGTGCACCTAACTCCAATTAGGGAGTGCTCAAAACAGGTCAATGCCAAACCACTGTGCTCTAAGTTACCAGACTCACGAATCGTCCCTGAGGTCCTCCTTTTCCAGAAAAGAGAAGCTCGTCTCACCTGTCCTGCAGTGCTCCAGCTTGGGGCACTGTGGACTTTTGGAGCTTGCTAAGACCTCGCTGGGCGGCGAGGAGACTGTGGTGGACGATCAGCAGCCTACCTAGCACAGCAGCTCCCTCTCAACGGTGACAGCCAAGTGTCCCCAGTCACTGCCACAGGATCCCCCCCCGGGGGGAGCGGTGTCAAAACCACGGGGGAGGGAGGGGTAGCTGAGGAGACCACCACCCAGATTCTCACGGAGGGAGGTCTCCAGCCCAGCAAGGGGCAACATAACAGCACAACCCGCTCTGGGGGCGCAAGACACACACCTTCCCGCCCACCCGCAGGGCAGCGCAGGGCTCTTTACCTTTGTAGAGGTTGGTGACAGCGGTGGCTGCGTTTTGGAAGGGGACCCAGAGAGAAAGTCCTGGCTGCTGACACACTCGGTCTGAAAACAAAAACCAAGAAACAAATAAGAAAAAAACAACAACAACAGAAACGACACAAACACACACGAGTTCACAGAGAGAGAGAGAGAGAGAGAGAGAGAGAGAGGAGAGAGAGAGAGAGACGAAGAGAATGTTACTTGGGCGTCAATCACTCCGAACGGCCATATTAGGTTTCGCCATTTTGTTCAAGGGTTTCGGGATCCCCGCGGCGCCGGGAGACCAGGAGCGAAGTGGGGGGTGCGGGGATGATCTCGACGGCGGGGTGTGGCGGGTAAAACGGGGGGCCCCGAGAACCGAGGGTCCCGAGATCCAGCCAGCGCGGAGAGCCCCCCACCCCCTGCCCGCAGTCCCCGCCCCGAGGCACAATGGGGCCGCCCGCCGCCTCCTTCGCCATTTTGTGCCGGGGCTTCTCTTCTCCCGGTCGGGACGGGGACGGGGACGGGGACTGGGACTGGGATCGGGATCGGGATGGCGACTGAGGCTGAACCGGGCCGGGCCAAGATGGCGGCGAGGCCTCACCTTTGTAGAGCTGGGCCACGGCGGTGGCCGAGTTCTGGAAGAGGTGCCACAGCTTCTGCTGCTTGTGCTCCGGCTGCGCGGCGGCCGCCGCCTCCTCCTGCAGCTCGGGCGGCAGCTGCTCGTCCTGCTCGGCCTCGGCCAGGCACTGCCGCTCCCACTTGGAGAACCAGTGCTCGGGCCCGTGCTCCTGGATCTCCGCCTCGCCCTCCTCCTTCCGCTCCTCCATCCTCCGCCGCGTCCTCCTCAGGCGGGGCCCCCGCGGGAGCGTCGTCGTCGAGCGGCCCGGCGGCGGGGCCCGGCGGCCGGCGGCGGCGGCTCCTCGCGGCGGCCCAGGCCTCCTGCACACCCCCGACGGCCGGCGACCCCGCCCCGCGTCGCCCCGGACGACCCCCTCCCCCTCCGCCCCGGGCCTCCTATGTGCCCCTAATCCCCGGGGTCCCGCTGATGAAGGTCGTCCCTGGCCCGCCGGAGCCTGTCTACCACCCGCCCATGGCGTGGTGGCCTCTCTAGGGCCGCGGCCGCTGCTGCTACTACTGCTACTACTGCTGCTGCTGCTGCTGCTGCTGCTGCTGCTGCCGCCTGCCTAGACCTCCGCACAAGTCGGCCTGCGCCGCCGAGCCCACTCCCAAGACTGAGCAACGTCGTCGTCGCCGCCGTCGTCGACGCCTCTGCGGCTGCTGGTCCCCGCCCTCCCCCGCCCACACGCTGGCTGGGAAGCTCCGCCCACCCGGCCGCGACTCCTCCCCCCGCCCCCCCGCCCCCCCTCGCTCCCCGGGGCGGTTGGGGCGCGCCCGCTCCGAGGGCCCTTATTGGTCTGATCTGACTGATTCCACGTGCCGGCCCCTGAACATAGCGTCCTGATTGGCTCATCGGCCTGTCTGCCTGACGTCATCAATGGACGGGGAAAGGGAAGTAAATGACAGGAAGGTTGAAGACGGAAAGGAGGGGGGAGGAGTTGACAGGAGTTGAGTCCAGCCAGCCTAGGCGGAAAAAAAAAAAAAAAAAATTCTGAAAAGGGAATGCGCATGCGCCGTGCTTGCAGCCCACCGCCGGAGTTGCCGGGCGCCAGGCGGTAATCACGTGACCCGGCCGAACGACCGCACCCGGCTGGGGCTTTTCTTGCGCTTCCAGGCCCAAGGGGACGCGGAATCTAGCGGGGCAAAGGCGCCCCGGGCACGAAGGGGGCGTGCTGCGTGGCGGGGTCTTTACTCCAGGCCCTTGGACTTCCACTGGAGGGAGTGCCGCAAATGAATAGAACGCTCCATTCGCATCCACGTTCGCAAAGCGCATTCCCATCTTTTTACGCCCGCGTCCCGTTTGTTCATCGGGTGAGTGGGGCTTCTGAGCCTAAAGAAAACCGTCCGAGGTGCGGGGTCGTCGGCCCGGTCTCAGCGGCTCCAGGGCGCCCGGGGACACCGCGGCTTCCCGGGAACGAGGCCCCAGCGCCTCCAGCCGGCTGGGGAGCGCAGATGGCCCCGCGGGCAGGAAAGCCGGGCCGGGCCGGGCCGGCGACGTCTGCGCCCTGGCGAGCGTGGCGCCCGCACCTGTCCCCAGTGCACGCTCCCGGGCCACGTGCGGCCTCGCGTCACGCGCGCCTCCGCGCCCCCGGAGGGCCTTGCCCTGGATGGGCCCGGAGCGAGGCGGCCACGCAATTACGGGGACCGCACGGAGCCGGCTGAGGCTCCCCATCTCCTGCAAAGGTGCGCGGGTCCCCGCGGGAAGGACCTGGACCTGCTCCTCGGTCGTCAGGTCCGCTTGACTCTGCCGCCCACCTTGGCCTGCTCCCTCCCCACTCCCCGCTTCTCCAGGACGCACCAAGTCCCTTCTACCTCTGTTCTTCGCCGGGTCTGGAAACTCGTCCCCGCATTTCCCAAGACTTGGCTCGGTTGGTCCCCTGCGCACGGAGCTTAGACCAACACAACGCAGCGCCCTGCCCACTCTCTCCCATTGCAGGCTTGGATTTTTTTCTGTAGCATCCATCACTCTGAAATGACCCGCGGGTGATTGAGACTATGGGTCTCTTCTCACGAAAAACTAGGTTCCTAGAGGGCAAAGGTCTGAGTTTAGGAAGAAAGGGGAGGACCCCTAGCCATTCAAGAGGGACATGCCCAGAAAAGCAGAAGGAATGCAAAGGCAGGGAGTAGGGTTGATCGCGGAACCCAAGTCCTGCAGGGGACCAGAGTGGAGACAGCAGCAGGCAGAGCGCATCAGTCAGCATTAGGGTCCCAGGAACCAATAAAAACGCATTAAGATATGTTTACAACACGAAAAAAATTGTATCAGTGTGTCTGTCTGAGAGGACTACGGAGGCAGGAAAGGTAAAGTAAATGTTAGAGAATGAAAAATAGTGAAACAATCTTTCTATATCTGAATATAATATAATGCACTGTACTGTAAGCTGTTGAATGTTAGGGGAGTATGGTGATAAAGAATAAGTAACAGGGATTGATTTGACTAAAGCCCAGTTTATACAGGCCTGAATTACCAAGGCAAAATCCCCTTGGACCATCAATACACAATTTTTAAAAAATGAAGGGCAGGAGGGAGAAAAATAGGTCTCCAGGCATGAGAACCAGTGGGAGGGCACAAAGAAAATGGGAATGAGGGTGAATATGGCAGATACGTTTTGTACTCATATATAAAAATAGAAGAATGAAACCTGTTGAAATTGTTCTAATAAGGGGGAGAAGGGATAAATCTAACTAAGAAATATTGTAAGTACATGTGTAAATGTCACAATGTATCCTCCTGTATAAGTATTATATGCTAATAAAATTTTTTAAACTTACTGTTGATCGAATAATTGAAAAAAGGGTATCTTCTTATGGTTGTATTAAGGTCAGCTTATCAGTGGCTTTTGTTTGTTAGTTTATGTTTTTCTATTTTTCTTGCCTTGGAAAGATTTTTATTCTTGTTTTTTGCTCTTTGTTTTGTTACATTTTCTATTTTGAGATGGCATCTCCATAGGTTGCCCAAGCTGGCCTTGAACTCCCAGGCTCAAGCAGTCCTCTTGCCTCAAGCCTCCCAACTACCTAGGACTATAGGTTTGCACCACTACACCCAGGTGCAAAGTTTTTTAAACTAGGTAAATCTTTCACCTTGCATCTTTGAGTTTTGTGTCAGGCTTAGAAAGTCTTTCCACATGTTAAGTTATTTTTTCAATGAAATAAAAGATAGCTGTGGTGGTATGCACCTGTAGTCCCAGCACTCAGGTGAACAAGACATTAGGCTCACTTGGCCCAGGAGTTTGCAATCAGCTGGATTCCATAAATACACCCTGTCTCAAAATTAACAACAAAAAAATGACATTTTACCTTTTACCTTTTTTGTTAAAAAAAAAAAAAAGACAAGCTAGAATAAAAGAAAAAGGAAACAAAATGACAGTATAGCTTTATTCCTAACCAAACAGAAATATCCAGATGTACGTGACTGCAGTAGCTATTTACAAGATATAATACACAAATTACAACAAGTGACAAAAGTGATCTTAAAGACTAACTACTGCAAGACCAGGGCAAAGTTAGACTCAAGGGCATGAGTGACAAGACACAAGAAAAATGAAAACATATTCTGAGTGCAAAATGGTGCTGGGAACACCAGATATCCACAAGGAGAAAACTGAAACTAGATCCCTGTCTCTCATCCTGTATACAGATCAAAGTGGATGGAAGAGCTTACTGCAAGACTTGAAACTACTGTGGGGAAAATGTAGGTAAGTGTTCTTCTGAAAAGGACTCCAGCTTGTCAGGAAGTAGGAGGAAGAATTGATAAAGAGATTGCATCATCAAAGACACTGGCAGAATGGGAGAAAAATCCTTGCCATCACTTCAACAGATACAGGATTAATATTCTTATAGAGAGCTCAGAAAATTGAACAAAACAAAAAATCTAATAAATGGGCAGATGAACTCAACAGTTCTCAGAAAAAGAAGTATAGATGACTACTAAATACATGAAGAAATATTCAACACCTTTAGCGGTAAAGGAAATGCAGATAGGAATGACACTGAGATTCCATCTCACCCCAGTCAGAACGATTTTAATTAGAAGTAACGAAGTCAACATACAGGAGAGACACCGCACGCTCACGTTTCTTGCAGCACTCTACAATAGCCAAACTATGGGGGCAGCCTAGGTGCCAAAACAACCAATGAAAGGATAAAGAAAATGTGGTATATATACACAATGGAGGATTTTCAGTCACCAAGAAGAATTATGTCTTTTGTAGGAAAATAGATGGAACAGGAAATCATGCTGAGTGAGATAAACCAAGCTCAAAAAAAAAAAAATATATATATATATATATATGCGTGTGTGTGTGTATATATGCGTGTGTGTGTGTATATATGCATGTGTGTGTGTATATATATGTGTGTATATATATATGCGTGTGTATATATATGCGTGTGTGTATATATATATATTCGTGTGTGTGTATATATATATATGCGTGTGTGTGTATATATATATGCATATATATGTGTGTGTATATATATATATAATGAAATCAAATAAATACTGTTTGAAAGGGGGGGAATGGAGGGGTTTAAGAAAGTATAATAGAGGTGGTGAATTTGATCAAAGTAAATTATATGCAGCTGGGTGCCGGTGGCTCATGCCTGTAATCCTAGCTACTCAGGAGGCACAGATCAGGAGGATCGCAGTTCAAAGCCAGCCCAGGCAAATAGTCGGAGAGACCCTATCTCGAAAAAAAACATCACAAAAACTGGGCTGGGGGAGTAGCTCAACGTGAAGGCCTTGAGTTCAAACTCCAGCACTGCAAAAAAAAAGAAAAAGAAAAGAAGTACATTATATGCATCTGTGGAGATATCATAGTGACACCCTCTGTACAATTAGTTAATGCTAATAAAAAATTCACAGAAAATATTTTAAGCACAAAAAGTCAATATAAATAACTATCTAGATAAAGTGTCTTTTTTTTTTTTTTTAGATACTAGAGATTGAACTCAGAGGCTTACACTTGCTAGGCAAATGCTTTACCACTTAAGCCACACCCCAAACCTTTTTTTGTCTTTGAGACAGGGCTTCCCTACATAGCTCAGGCTGACCTCACACTCTGGATCCTCCTGCCTCAGCCTCCTGAGTGCTAGGATGGTTTTGTGCACCACTATACTAAGCTTTAAAAAAAAAAAAAAAGTCTCTTTCAGGCTGGTGAAATGGCTCAAGTGGTAGAATGCCTGTCTAGGAAACATGAGGCCTTGAGTTCAAACCCCAGTGCAGCCGGAAAAAAAAAAAAAAAAAGTCTCTACCATTTAGCACAGAAGTGAGAAAACTCTAAAACACTTTAAATGGGAGGGGCACTGTTGTTCCTTTGGATGCAGTAGCTGCTTCAAAGTTCAGGACAGTGAGCAGGTGCCCCTTGGGAGTCCTGTGGAAGACGAGAGGAGCAGCGCTGCACCTGTTGCTTTTACAAAGGGCAGAACACACCTGCCCATTTTGCTGCCTTCAACAACTGCCCAGATCTGATAGTCTGTGTAACATAACATAATCGTTTGCGGTTCACCTTTGCCAAGCCCAGCTCATGTCTGGCGTGTTTCAGAAAGGAAGGCTGCACTGGTTCTTCTCCTAATTCAGATTCAGTGTGAGAAGCCTTGACCCTGACCTTTCCTTAGAAAGACATTGTTTTTCAGCCAT